AATTTCACGCCCTGAATTGTCACATCAAGCTTATTTTAATTGACAAACTGTCTGTTATCGAATGAAAAACTAGGAGCTTTTATTATGTTAGCTATACATGGCTCTCTATTCTGTACCTTTCACCACTGGAGCTTATCAAGTTTCTTTAGCATTCAGTTGTCAGCAGTCTACACCCTAGCATCTTGTTACAATTCAGTTCACTTTTAATGCTAGTTGGAGATAGACTCTGTCAGAGTTAAGAGTTTTACAACACTAAACAATGACCTGTTCAGGGCACAGACCCAAATCTTTTGACAAGGCCATTAACAATACATTGTCCGCTAGTTATTTGTATTGTGGTCATGAAGAGAGTTCTTAACATGTTCAACTGTGAATATTAAAGCAAATTATGTTACACATTATTCTGGTTTCTCTTGCAGACCCAATGATTTGTAATTGTATATAGTCTGTTCTGGTGATATGATGTAACAGGATACAGATTGAATTATCCAAGAGGATTTTTATTAACTTAATGATTACTATTAGGTTACTGGGGATCAGTGCAGGAAGGAGACAGTATTTTGGATGTTGTAAATTTTAACAGTTTACATGCTAACCATTTGATCCAATCCATAAATTGTAACCTAATCTTTTCTTATGTTTGCTGTTTCAAAAGTGTAAATTGATTCCTTTAAGAACTTTTTTCATAAAAATTACAATTTGGCATTGGTGGTGTATGAGGTAGAGCAAGAATTTATTTGTTATTTGTTATAATGGCACTTTAAAGTGTATAATGATCTTCTGGTTATATCTACAAACAATCTGAAGGAGAGTGTTGAATAAAGTTTATTTTAATGAATTGTGTTACTTTCATTATCACTCTTACGATAATTGCAATGAAGAGATTACTTTTTTTTATTTCAGTAACACCTCTGTTAATACTTATAGTACTTTATGGAGTCTTAGGAATTTTATTTGTTCTCTTCAACCTTTTACACCTAGTGCTAGTAGGTGCATATCATCCATACTGTTCTTTGTATATTTCCTGTGGTACTGATGAGGAGATTGTAGCAATAGTGAGCTTCTTCAGTTTGGTTTCATTTCCTTTTACCTCATGACTTTAATGTTTGATTCAGTGGTGATACTGTATGGAGAAATTATATGCCAGTCTCTTTTAGGGGTGAAAGGGTCATTAACTGCCCTGTGAGCTGAAATTGCATGATAATTTGCAGGCTCTGTTAACCAATACTATGAATGTTAAAAAAAATTGATGAAGTTTATTATTATCATTACAATTATAATTATTTTAAAGCTAACAATTTTGGGATTTCTCCTGGATCACTTCAGTGTCCATATAATTAAGGAGAATAATGATACTGTTAGTAATAACAGTAATGAAATTGTTAATGTTGACTATAGATAAGGACTGTGGCACTGATAATGCTACTATTGATAATTAGTTATTCTTTGAAATGGAGTTGATTTGGGGAAAAAATATTTCCTAAGCCTTGAAGTGACAAGGTGAATACTTGAAAGGAAAGCACTTACAATGAAATTTGTGCAGTAACTCAATTCATTAATGAAAAGGCCATGGGTACATGAAACAGTTAACAATAAGAAGCAATAGTTCATAGGTGACATTTACAGAACTTTGAAATTTAGCAAATTGACGTTAAGGTTGGGTGTCAATGGTAGTTGTACAGTCATTTAAAACAGATTTGTCAAAAGCCTGCTTAAACAACAAATGAAAGTGGTAGAGACAGGAAACATGTTTTCATGTTTGCACTGTATTTGTGGCCCACAAGGGTTGAAGTGTGGGGATTTTCATAAATTTTACAACAAAGTATTGCAATATCATGATGTGCTTTCTGTTGGGCTTGTAAGAGTTTTTGAAAACTACTTTAATTTTTCTCCAGTTCCAATGGAAATTTCTGTAGGTTATTTGCCTTGAAAGACAAACCAGGCCTTAAAATGAATTACATCCATTAAGAAAACTTAATAATAATAATTATTATTATAATAATAATGGGATTTTGCAGTGGACAGTCCATGAGGTGGCTCTTCTTGTCCACTGTTTTCAGGTTGAATTAGAATTTAGAATGTTTGTTTTTGAAAAATTTTCAAGCACTTATTTTTTACAAATTACGTGAGAAATAGTGTCATTACTTGGTAATAATTTACATGAAGAAAGCATCACAGAAAATAAAGTCATTCAGAATTTTAACAGTGTGCACATTACTTTGATTTGCACTTATGTTACAATGTTGCACCTGTGTTACATAGAAAATGCACTCATTTTTAGCCTATAATTTGTGCTTGAATGTTATTAGTATAAGTAACAACATGATTTTAATTGCACTTTGGTATTAATAGGCCGTAGGGTGAGTGCAAGTTGAAGTATGAAAATTTTCCAAATGCTTATTTACACCAAATTACATAACAAATGTTATTGCTTCTTAATTTCTGATTTACACGAAAAAAAATCACAAAGTCGGGGAAGACTATATTTTAACAGCATACTCATGCCATTTGTAATTTGCACTCGTAGTATAACTTTGCACTCATGTTACATGAAAAAAGCACTAATTTTCAGCCTAATAGAAGCACATAATTTTTTTCATGTATATTAATACCCAAGTAACTGCACTACAGTACTAAATTGCTTGAAACTATGGAATTGTTTTTTGGGTTTCTAATTGTGGTCTGATGCAGATGTCCATTTAGTTTAAGGCCACTTTAACTTTTGGGAGCCTGCTAGGATGAAACTCGATTACCAGCCCCTGTTTGGGAACATGAGCCTGTGCTCCTCCTCTTGGGTAGGAACAAAGACTGAACATGAGAGAGTGGTGGAAAGCAAGCTTGTCTTAGTGAAAATGCAAACCAATATATACTACCAAATAAAACTGTAAAATAAGAGTTTTTTCATTTTTCTGTCTCACTGTAAAATTAACACTTTTATTAATTAAAATACTGTTACTAATTTTTTTAAGAATTACTAAATAAATACCAAGTGAATGCGTCCCTCATATAAGCACAGCATCAATGTTGCCAAAAGTTCAGTTGATGGCACAGCTCGATCACTGTCTGGTGATTGTGAGCTGGTAACATTTTTTCACAGCTGAATGACAAAAACTTCAGTCTGTTTCTTAAAGTAATTTTTTGTTTGATGCACACCATTCAATACCTTTGCTATGATTTTGATAAACATTATTTATGGTCTATCAAAGGTAATGGGACATAGCTTTTACAGTCTACCAAGGCCTGGTTGTGCAAAATGTATCTGGTATGATCTTTAGTAAGTGAAATATAAGACAGAATATAATAAAATGTTAACAGGAAAGCTCTTTGAGAAGCTATGAAAGAAAAAAAAACAACAAAAACAAAAAAAATAAATTAACTATAATCCTGGGTAAGCTCAATAGGGTTTTGAACAATCCTGAGAGACTAAATTTAAGGACGATCACTTACATGTGGCGTAAGAAAAAGACCTTCTTTACTTACAAGGGACTTCTTTCTCCAGAAGGAGTGTCTGTTAAAAGGAAGCATGTGTGACCAATATTACAGAAAATATTTGACGTAACAAAGTTTAAACTTTTGGCATGGTTCTAATATTTATGTCCTAAAAATACCAGTTTGTACATTTTGATGGAGTAAGAATTTACTGGCCATTAAAACATTTTGGTCTGGTAAATCTCTGTAACTTCCCACTCCATAATTGAGCTTTATTGTGATCATCTATTATTACCCGGTGTTCTGTTGCCAGATAATGCAATCAAATAATATAGAACACCAAATATGAAACCCCCCATATGTGCTGCATGACCAATGCCATCTGCAGAGTATGCCACAAATGTGCTAATGATTCCTTTACCAGGAGTTGTACTGTCTAATAGAGGCACCAAGTCACTCAGAAGAACTGTGATTACAAGCCCCAAATGGCACACTTCATACATCATTTCTTGCGTCATCTGATTGTCCCATTCTCGATCTGCTATTCCTAACCTTCGCCGCCTTCTTAGTTCAATGTATTTGTCATATAAGGAAACAATATTTGCACATGTCTCAATGGCAACAATAGAACAAATTGCTGCACTGGCACCTTTGCACGATGTTGTTCCATGAATTGAAGTAAAGGCTTTATCAAGAGCAAACTTTTGCAAGATGTCTGCTTTGTTGCCCAAGAAATCCCCAAGAAGACCCCAAGAATTTGGTGATGGTAGAACAGTCTCCCAGCGGATTTTTTGAAACATGTAGAAACAAAACTGGGTGAGATTTCCAGCAACTCCACCCCCAAAGAATGCTGCCAATAAATGCTTTCGACCAAAGCGTCTATGAACATGGTAACCATTTGGTATGAGAGTAGCAAAGTTATTGAATAGGTGCTGTTCATCTATGAAATAAAGTCAGAAAAAGAGAAATTAACAAACATTGCAAAGATTGAAGGGTTAAGCCCCCTGTGGTACTTCTAGAGCTGTTGTCCGGTTGCAAGCCTATACACAAAGCTCTAAACAAGTGTTGAGCATGAGTTACGCAAGCAGTAGGTAGGCAGAGAAGTAATGCCCATGGCATACTAATGATTGTGCTCTTCTGCTCACAAAAGTTGACTAAACACAATTTCTCTAAACCCAGTTGTAAGCAATCCAAGTCAAACATTCCCTCTGAACAATGAATCTGTTAAATATCTTCAGTCTTTCCTGAATGTCTGTCTCATTTGAAAATGAATAAAGGGCTTCCAAAGAATGTTATTGTACCTTTAAGAAAGTATTGGTTCTTGTTGGTGAGAATAGTGATGTCAAGTATATTGGATAGCTATGTCTAAAAACACAACAGGGTGAACAGGTATTCTCTGCTCGCACTTGCCAGCTGCTTGCATGACTAATACTCACACTCCATGCAGACTTCAACATGTTCTCAGATAAAAAGCAGAAAAATAACCTTTGGGCATAAGACCATATATCGAAATAAATTGAATATTACAAGTAAAAAGTAAACAACAAAACAAAACATGCTAACAAATACCAGAACACCTAAAACTATTTTTGGATAAATCTTCTTTTCACGTGTCACCAAAGGAGAGTAGAGATACAGTGACAGACCAGCAGAGATGCAGCAGCCTTTAAACCTGGGGATGAAAAGCTTTATTTCCACCCATCAAACAAAGGTGAAGGTTGGACAGACTTTACATTCACAGAGATCTTACATGGCTGCGGCATAATAATGTCTGTGCTCATAAGCAACCATGAAACATCACACAATCCACACAGAAAGGATGTACAAACTTCCAATTTTGAGAATTGTAACTGATAGCTGTTCATAATTTTTCTCACACTTGAAGCACTCTACTCATTTATAATTATGTTGAAATATTTATCTCACAGTGGAGGTTTGTGGGTTTGTGTTTGAGTAATGAACACTCTTTAAATCATAGGAAGCCCAAGCTCCAGCTGTAAGATCATCATCTTATGAAATAAGAGTCATGGCAAAAATATAAGAATTTGTATAGGAGTATTTACAACCACTCTTAGGAATAAAAAATACAGTCAAATTCTCAATGAAAATACCTCACCTTACTTCCACAGCAAATCGCTTGCTATCTGACTGCTTACTATGTTGAAAAGAAGCCATTTTGGCAAGTCATCCATTTCTAGGTTTGCTAAGGTGAATGTGTACACAGGCTGTTAGACACGTCTAAACTGGAAATTTTTCAAGCAAACTGCATTGTAGCATCAATTTCATGGGGAAGATTGAGTTTGTAGTGAATTGAAATTAAACTAGAGTATATGCACTTGGATTATGCATTGGATTTGTGGCCACCTGGTCATTTTGAGCTTGGGTTTTTCACTTCTTGGATCAGGTGTTTGGAAATGGAGTGTGCAGCCTTGGGCTTTTCTTATGTACGTAGTAAACCTAGAAATGGATAATTTGCCAAAATGGCTTTCTTTCAACATGCTAAGCTGTCAGACAGCAAATGATGCACTGTGGAAGTAAGGTGAGGTATTTTCATTGAGAATTTGACTGTATTTTTTATCCCTAAGAGCAGTCGCAAATATTCCTATACAAACTCTTATAATTTTACCATGACTCTTATTATGCAAGGTAATCATCTCACAGCTGGAGCTTGGGCCACCTGTGGTTAAATCAAGCTAAACACAAATCACAGCATGCAGTTGTGTTTGATGAAGCCAATATTTAGATCAAAAGAAGGCCAAAAGGGTACATGAGTTAAGAATTCTGACTTTCTGTCCGGTGTGTCTCTGAGTTATGTCAAGGTTTCCACGAAATAAATAAATTATTTATAGCAGTAGAGCAGTTAATGAATATTTATACTTTGGCCATGAACTTCAAAAATTGCATGCCATCACATGCCAATCAAAACAACATACATTGAAACCACAACATGGTATATGTTGGTAGCATTTGCTACACGTTTGTAGCTCATTGTCAGACTGAAAAGTTGAAAAACAACAGTGATCATTTGCGCTACTAATACAATTTTCACAACGATCGATTTATGGTTGTTGCATCACCACATTTGGTTTTAAAACCCACTTCACTGTAAAGTTGAAGACGAAGGCACAAAGTTCATGAGGTGAATACCATAGCTTACCTTGGTGATTGAAAAGGTTCGTGACAAGAGTGTGATATCGTCCTTGAGCGAGATTTTCGGGGGAGAAAGAGAAGTGATCTTTCAGAGTTGCACTCGACATGTTGAATAGGAGACCATAAGACTGGAATTGAGCCAGTGGCGAGGAAGGTTGTGCTGCAGAAACCAGGCATGGTAGCTGTAACCCTACCAAGCCTGTAAGAGTTAATGAATACTCTCTCAGATCTTTAGCAATATTTCTTCTATCCATCTTCCAGGTTCGTTCGTACTCAGAAAACCAAATAGATTACCAAATCTTCACGAACTGATTTGGGGGACTGATAACGAGCAGGCCTACATAACGAGTATCGTTGGGAAAGTACTTCAAATATCACGTAACGAAGCGTATCGATACTTTATTAAAAAAAATAGCCCTACAGTATATACATGTGTTTTGATGTGTAGCTCAAGGATTCTTAGTTCAATACTGAAATATAAAAATATACACGGTATCTAGTGTAACATTTTCATTTGAAGGAATATATATTCGACTGAAAAGTATAGTCAGCACATTGGGAAATGACATTCTGAATTAGAGTAAATTTCTCTGGAAGTGGAATCAGAATGTCTCATCTTGTTTTAACAATTCATTATATGAAAAATGGCACTGAATGGAATTTATAGCAGCATTCAATAATCATAAGCCATAATTTGTACAAAATACCGAATTCCCAGAACAAATGACTGTTAATTTTTCCTGAATTAGTCCTTGTAATGTCAATCCCATAAGTTTGGAACGGGGGGAGGGGGGAGGGAGGGGGGATTAGACAGATGAAAGTGATACAAAATGGATAATTAAACACGCTCAGTCACGTAAAAATACTACTGATGTTAGTGGCAATCTATGATGGAAAGCAAACCGTAACGGCTTTTGTCTTGCCTTATACGTTGTCAATTGACAACCTGCTCTGGCTCAGATTTTATCAACGCTGCCTTGCTCATTGACTCGCTCAATCTTCTCACGATCCTCGCTGATCTTTCTCTTTTAAGGACGATAAGAATTAAGTACAGCCCTTTTCTTTTGTGCATCCTGCCGCAACTGGTATCCATTAAAAGGGACTTAACTCCGAACCTAAAAGCATCCGGGTACAAAGAGAAGATGACTGAAATTCTCCGAAAGCGATGTGCCAGTAAGTCGATAACCAACGCTTTTCAGCCAAAGTATGTGCGACTTCAAACCGCGTGCAAATAACCTCCCTTACCAGACAAGGCCCAAATCACCGCAGACTGGAACCCAATACAACAGTATGTCGGCAACCATTTGCTCTGATGAAGGGTGAAAGTTCGAAACGTCAGCTTTAGAAACTCTTTACGGTGGCAGGAGCCCAATGGGCTCCTGACGATGGACTATTTATATTATCAACTCTTTTGATAAAACCAAAATATCTTATAATCCCCCACCGATGCAGCATTAAAGTTTCTTCTTTCTTTACCCCCATAATCTAACTGGAGTACGACTCTCGGGCTTGAAAAAATGATGTTCATAAAACCGTCTGGTAAGAGAAGCCTCAACTAACTGTGCTCCATTCCTTTTAAAGCTTAGGGCAGAACTCAAAATTAAGCGTAGTCTTTCTCCCTACTTCGTGAATGTTCTAGCCACTTAGTAAACGGAAGGAGCGCAACGGTGCAGCCAAAGGAGGACAGAGAGTTGAATAGTGAGCACCACTAAAAAACTTTCAGGGGTTCTTAAGGTCCTAAGGATATTTAACACCAACTTAATCCAACATTTTTGCATTAATAATTGTTATGGGACAACATGAAATAACACAGGATAATTTTTTTCTGGGAAAGGTAACAGTCAAACAAAAGATTGATCAAACATGAGTCACGTTACTGCTTTAACAAAGACAAAACATCAAGAACAAGAATTTGTCCAACCAGGAGACTTCAAATAAACCAGGCGAATAAATTAAACAGAGTGTGCGTTGACGGGGAACTTAAAGATCAGACGCAAAACAGAGATAGCGTTACCTAAAGTAATAATCAGACACGAATGGAACTGCGCACCACCGAAAGATGTACGGCACAGAACGGAGTACACTATCAGGAGACGTAACAGTCAGACACAGAACGGAGCGTGCGCTATCAGAAGACGAATTAATTAGTATAGGTAATCGCAAGGAGCCGAGCAAAATTAAGGATAAATATTGCCTGTGTTTTCAGAAGCTGCAGAAATTGCCCGAAAATCGAAGAGCTTTCTACCGGGAGAAGTGACGATCTGGCTAACTAGAGACGTCACATTCATTTACAAAACAGAGTGTGCGTAATCGGAAGATTTCACAATCAGGGACAAATGAGCAGCCCACTACTGCGAGACGTAATAATAGAGCACAAAACAGAGTGCCGCTAACGGTAGATGTAACAATCGTATGCAAAAGAGAAAGCCCACTTTTGAGGAGACGAAACAGTCAGGCACAAAGACGAAGTGCACGCTATTAGGAGACGTAATAATCAGGCACAAGTCAGTATGCAAATTATTACGAGACGTAAATCGAAATTACACGCCCGGGAAACATAGTAATCGGAGCGAAAAGCGGAGTGTGCGCTAACTGGAGACCATAGTCATGCATAAAACGGAGTGCACGCTATCAGGAGACGCAACAAGCTGGCGCAAGATGGTGTGAGCGATATCAGGAGACCTACAAATCTGGCACATTGAAAGTAAGTGAGTGTTATGCGAAGACGTAATCAGTCAGGTACAAAAGAAGGCAGGACACGGAATGCGCACTATCGGCAGACACAACAATCATGCACTAAACGAAGAACTCAGTACCGGGTAAAACTCCGGCACAATCAGAGGCAAGAAAAAGAATGATGATATGCTTTTGACCACATTTAAATTGCTTTGTTTGCATTAGATTACATCAGAGTCATCTCTATCTTGAGACATGTCAGCTTAATCCTTCGGTGAATTATGTTGGGCGCCATGCACCGGCTTTTCTGAAAGACGCAGTTGATAGATCATCATCGGTACATCCCGCTGTCTTACCATTGAAAACTTTCTCACAGTTGCTTGCGACTCATGAAAACTCGTGGCTTCTATCGATTCTTAAATGGGCGCAAAATCTGAGGCACGAGGTGCACTACATGCGATGATCTCAGTAGCACATCTTAATCCTTTTAAAAATAAAAATACTTTATTTTCTAAAAATAAACCACAGGAGTATTAATCTAAAGACATGGTTGAGCGCATTCTTTGTTAAAGACGTGTCTCGCTATAATTTCAGAACCGTTGTGGCAAGATGATATCTGGCTAATTCCTCGGTTGAACTTATTAAAGAATCAGCATAATTTAACTGCGTTTATCGTATGCATCCCTCCATGCATCTCCATTCTATATCATTTATAATTCTCACATAAACTTACAGCCTTGAGGACTTTTAAAAAACAAGCACCACAAGCGTTATTTAAATACATTTATATAAAATATATGAAATAACCTAGTTATCATTTTTTTAGGTTCGCGTTACATTTAATCAAGTCCTACACCCACCAGGTAAAGAGTTACATTATTTAACTTTTTTCTGTAACTTGAAGGTCATTTTGCTTTGCAGCCATAACATGACCGCTGAAAAGAACGAGTACAACTTTGAGGATCGTGAAAATGAAACTATTAAATTCATCAACTATCGAGTTGAGTCGGCTTAATTGAACTCTAAACGTACGCCTCTCGAAGCGTTTGTTGCCCACTCCGTTCATTCTGACTAAGATCGCCGATTCCTTATGAAGCTAACGAAGTATTTTCCGGCTGACAAAATCTTCATTTACCTTAATGCGTTTTTGAAAAAATCGTATTCTCTTAAACTTGGCTTCCCCGCAAATTCTATGTGAACATGTGCGGAGGAAGGCAAGGATAGTTTTTGGAACAGTACACTGCCTTAAAAAGCAATTCTCAAATCATTTTGAAGAGTAATTTTAAATCGCTTAGTTTTGCTTCATTTCTATATGCTATCCAAAGCCCCGTTTGTTCAAGGGGCGGATGACGCTATCCACTGAATTAACCTTGATCCAGCGGATACCGCAGTACGTTCTCTAACTCTTATTTGTTAGGTAGTTACCACCTTTTGAACAACTGGACCCAGATGCAGAACTAAAACCATCAACCCCTTAGACACTTGTGATTCCAAGCTTAGTCAAGACATTTGTTCCCATGGGCCTCTTGTGATCTTTACCTTTATTCTAGAGTTCCGGTGAAGGGTTTATACGGTCAGTCAAAATACGCTCTGATGAAGTAACAAACCACCATTGCTAAAACTAAAAGAAATGTCTGCAAGTTTTATCCTAGCACAAGTTTTTGATGTCTGGGTCAGACGGGTTAGGTATACTTGGAAGTCTCTGCTCAGCACCAGCTTGAAGAATTTTCTGAGCCTCTTTTCTTTGCTCCATCTGGAGGCGTTTGTAAGGAGGGTTGAAGCCATAGATTATCAAAATTGCCATAGCAACAGCCGCTGACGTCATAAAAATCATGGAATACAGATAATCCGGAACTTCCTTGTCGCCTGACTTCTGATGACACTTGGACTTTTTGAAAACTTTGGGAAGTGCTAAAGCTTGTGAAACTAATATGAATATTACCCCAGTGGCTTGACTGTGAAGAAGAAATAATAAAATTCTTAGGTTAAAGTTATACCCTGTAAAGTAGTGCTGACTCTTTGTTAAGTGACTGAAACTGTTACAATGTGCATGAAGCAACAAGGGGATGATGGCCAGTGAGAGTGTTGACCGAAAATGGCTCATGGTCATGAGTAATCAACTTTGGTTTGCATCAAATTGATTTGTGTCAAAACCACTTTGTATCAAAATGACTTGCCTCTACCTGGACAGTCACACCACACAACCAAGAGTGCAGACTTGGTGTATTCTGTCAATCAGATGTAAAACTAATCACCAGTGAGAGAAGAATACCGGAGCAAGTTTTTTTTAGAGAGAGATGTTTTTCATCTGTGAGGGACAAAGAAAAACTTCTGAGTCCTATGAGGAATCAAACCTCAGACCTTTGGATTCTCAGCTCCAATGTTCCACCACTAAGCCACAGAGACTCTATGGCGAGCAAGGCCCATTACAAAGGTTCTCCATTATGAACTTTCGTTGGATATCACACTCAGATGTTTTGTTTGAATGAGGGATCACAAAAGTTGTCATTCAATATTAATTGATTGCTAGAGTCAGGGAGGTCAGGATTGTGTATGGGACAGTAGTAAGTAACAACAACAAAAAAACCACCAATATACCCTGCCATCCACAGCAGCCCAGCACTTGTTGCTTCAGCCACAGGATAGGTACACTCTACTCCTACTTCCAAACAGACTGGCATGAGGGCAAATGAAAAAAAACCAAACAAGCCACAGGTGGCCACAACAAGAGCAGGTTGACCAGGCTTGCTACTCACCTAGTGAAAATTTGAGAGCATTGTCAGCATTATGTAATAAAATATGTGGTTATTGTTTATTGTAGTGCAGGATAGGAGATGAACTTTATTCTTTTGTCTCACCATTGAGTCACTTTGGATGTTGATCACGACATTTTGACTGCAATACTGCTAGTCTTTATCAGGCAATGACATTGATTTATAACAAAACAGTGCATATTCCTTTTGGAGCGAGGTTAAGTTTATTTATCATGACCCTCACTGGTACACAGGTAGGGTCAAAGAGGCTATCCATATAGGACTTCATCCCAACAACATCAATAGGGATAGTGGAATCAAAATTCCTGAAGCTTGGATACCCATGAGCAAACAACACAACAGCCTATCAATGAGGACCAATGAGGGAACACCATTCAACAACCAGAATTATAATGAGGATCAAAATGCACCAATAGCAGCAAACCAACGTGCTACACATAGTGACGTGCAAACAATCGACCTCATCACCTGATGAAGACTTGCAGTACTGCAGTTGAAACGTCACAATCAACATTGAAATGGACTCCATCATGAGACAAACAAATAAAGCTTGTCTCCTATTGTCATCATCAATTAGTACAGGCCATAACATGATTTCTCAAAAGACATGCCATTTGGCATTATTAAGCACAAGTAAACTTTTCAAAGCTAACAAAATTGCAATTTTTAGTCTTTCAAACATTTTGCAAGTGTTTATTAATACTAAATTGCATGTTATTACTTATTCATAAATTAAATGAAGACAGATGAAATTTGACAGCAACCATGCAATTTGAAATTTGCACTCAAATTACAAGAAAAATGCTCTCATTTTCAGCCAATCAGAAGCACCTATTTTCATGTATATTATTACTTTTTAAATCTGTATCTTGGATTTCAGTCATCGTTATCCCTTTGACCCTCTATGAGCGACTAGCATCTAATTTCTCCCTACAATATTCCCCCCTGACTCAAACATAAAGGTCATGAGAACAAATGAAAGTGTGGAGAACTTGGAAACTGATGTTAGGGTGTAAAGGGTTTATAATCTAGTGGATAGCAATATTACCGTAATTTCCGGTCGTTTACCCGCGGGTAATCTGTTGATTTTGCATTAAACGCGCGCCACTGCGGGTAATAGGGAGGTGCGGGTTATGTGACAATTTTAAAATCCAGTGGTAGTTGAATTGAAAAAAATATCACCAACATGCGTTTCCACCTCTCAAGTAAATTTTATTGTGTTAATAGTGCCGCAAAGCGGCACGAAAACATGATGCCGACTCGAGTTTATTTCACGCATAATTAGTTGCGCGACGAACAAATTATTATCGGCACGCGTGAAAACAAAACCTTGATGGTGACAAAAATTATCCAAAGATATCCGGCGCATCAGTAACAAATTTCCATTTAACACTAGCTTGAGCTAAAGAGAATTTTCCCGTTTTAAGGGACTTGTTAGGCCCAATAGAACCGGAGATATCGATTTTTTCAGAAATCGCCGACAGTACTTTATAATTCAAGTTTTTAATACTCACCCAGCTTTTTTTCAATAAATCAACATGGCGCTGAACGATCGCTCGCACAGAATGTGGCCACAAATTCGCATTCTGTCAAGTATGAAACGTTGAGATTTGGGCATGGGCCGCTAGTGTTTTTACTGTATAATCTTATCAATAAAGTACATGCTAATATTGACACAGAATTGTGCACGCGTCTGAATTTCTTTGACCTTTAAACTCGACAAAGACGCTTTCAAGTTTTCGAAAGTTGGATCAGACAACTTTTAAAAGACTGAAATGTATCACCTTAATGTCACGTTTTTGCCACCAAAAAGTTGAATAACAACGTGCGGGTTATCCACCAGTGCGGGTAATCTGTTGACTTTTTTTTTCGCCGTATGCAATAATCGGCCGGTGCGGGTAATCGGCCGTGCGGGTAAACGACCGGAAATTACGGTAACCATTGGAACAACCATGTCCTGGGCCCAGTTGTATAAAGGGCAGATAATGCTATCCAATGGATAAATTACTATCTGTTGTATAAGTTTTCACAAAACATACAGGGCTATCCGCCAGATAGAGATTTATCCACTGGATAGTGTTATCCACCCTTTGAACAATCATGTCCTGGTGTACAACTTGAACCATTTATGCTGGTCTAAGACAATAAGGCTCCACCCTGTTACAGGCAGTGGTGAGGACAGCTTACAATGTTAACCCTTCAAGGCATCAATTACTTACGTATAAGAGTAAACAACATGATACTGCAGCCAGTGCATATGAAATCTTTGCTGTCTCTTTAAACTTCTTGGTTTTGTCAACATACACACCAGTGAATCCACCTCCCACCAGACCAACCGCTATCAAAACAGCACCTGCTGTTCCTGCCATGTCCTTAAACAACAATCAAAAGACAATTGCTATCAGAAGCTAACAACAGACAAAGTGCAGTGTTGCACCATTGCACATTGTGTGAAAATATTTTGGTTCAATGTCATACCATTTCATTTCTCTGAAAGCCAGTTCTAAATATTATATTCTACATTTTTTTACAGTCAAAAGAGTTTGATAACTTATTAATGTGTTTAACTTCCAAGTGACAATAACATTTTCAGATTGGCTTGGAATTTTGATGAAGTCTCATATAATAAAATCCACAAACACAACAGCTTATGAGAACAAAGGAAAGTTTAGAAAAACAAGTGTATTAAGAAGTCAGACCAGATGGACGACAGAAAAGTTTTTTTGCCTCTTGTAAGGATGGTGAAGTAATAGAATCCACTTTCTATTGGTTTGCTTTAAGTACACATGATCCAAAAGTTTGTAAATCATGCGCTGGAGGCATGGAAAAAATTAATATAATGTCTGGTATGTTCTTTATGCTTGTTATTTTAATAAACCAGGACACATACTGCAAAATCTTCATGACAATACTTACATCACTATATCCTCTGGGGCAGATAACTTGTTCTAAAATTGTTGTAAGGCATGTAAAAAGGCCTATCCCAGAACCAAACGTCACCAATAACACTAGGTAAGGTTTGTTCTGCAAAAGCTGAACAAAAATGTAGAAGTTCTTCATTACAAAGGGTGAGGCTATGTAAACATAAGATAGTTGTCAAGATTTAAAAACAAATTTCAGTGGTATAATATTATGTCTTTAATAATGTCAGACAACAAGAAACAGTTTGAAGTGGGCTTCTTTCCTTATAATATTTGGGTAAAGTAGAAATTGTCAAAAGGGGTACAATTTGAAGAGGAAGAGAACTTTCCAGTTCAGAGAGATATCAGCTTCTCAGAAGTTTAAGAGGTCAAGATTATGTGGTATCATGGCCTTAAATTGGTGCCAAATTCAGGGGTGCTGCATGTCAATGGGAAATGTCTACCTTTGGGAAGTGAGCGACAATACTGGATTTGAATTTGGGATTTGCCTGTTTCATCAGCCACTCCAAATGAGACATGTAAGCATGTCTGCAATGAGTAGGAGCATTCTCATCAAAGCCTAGACATGTTTTAAAGTTGTCTTGCTAAAGATGGTTGAGAATCATTTTCTTCATTGAAGCTGCTAAAAAGGATGTTGTTAACTTCAAATTTAGCATATCAAAAATACAAGTTAGCAATTACTTGAATCCTACTCAAAATTAAATATTTCAGTTCTCTGTTTCTGATTGTAATTCAGCTAAACGCAGTTGAACTAAAAATTTTTTTGCTGGTGTGAATGGGATAAGTAGTCACCTAGTATAGACAAAATGACGACAAAAATGGAATGTTTTTCTAAATACGTGTATTTCTGGTTCATAATATGTGAGTAAAATACTCTTCCACCACAAAGTAGTGTAATCATATACAGCAGTAATCATGTCCATGAGTTAAGGCATTGCATGCTGAAGTGCTTAATGGCAAAGGATGTTACTGGACAAGGGCAAAGCAATATACAAGTAAAAATTCTATCAGACCTTTTTGAGACCCTGAAAGAAAGGCTCTGATGATGACTCTGCTGATGCTGTGGGTGGGGTTGGTGGAGAGCTACTGCATACTCCAAAGGTTGCCATGACAACACCAAGGAAAGCAGGAATTGAAAACATCTCCAACTGCAGAAAAAAAATGAAGAAAATTCTCAAAAACTAAAAATTGAAACCATGATCATGAATCAAGAACTAAGTTTCAATAACATAAAAAACACTTGTTAACATCCATGTTTTCTTCC